ACTTGAATGTTTGCCTGCCTTGCTAGGTTGGGGAAGTTTTCCTGGATAATATCCTGCAGAGTATTTTCCAGCTTGGATTCATTCTCTTCGTCACATTTGGGTACGCCTATCAAACGTAGATTAGGTCTTCTCACATAGTCCCACATTTCTTGGAGAGTTTGTTCATTCTTTTTTACCCTTTTTTCTCCAGTCTTGCCTTCCTGTTTTATTTCATTGAGTTGATCTTCGACCTCTGATATCCTTTCTTCTGCTTGGTCCATTCGGCTGTTGATACTTGTGCATGCTTCACGAAGTTCTCGTGTTGCAGTTTTCAGCTCCATCAATTCACTTATATTCCTTTCTATTTTGTCCATTCTTGTTAGCATTTCGTCAAATCTTTTTTCAAGGTTCTTAGTTTCTTTGCATTTGGTTAGAACATGTTCTTTAAGTTCACAGAAGTTTCTTACTACCCATCTTCTGAATTCTGATTCTGTCATTTCATCACACTCATTCTCCATCCAACCTTGTTCCCTTGCTGGCGAGGAGTTGTGATCCCTTTTAGGAGGAGAGGTGTTCTGGTTTCGGGTGTTTTCATCCTTTTTGCGCCGGTTTCTTCCCATCCTTAAGGATTTATCCACCTGTTGACTTTGTAGTTGCTGGCTTTCAGATTGGGTCTCAAATCTTTCAGATTGACGTTCTGTTTGTTGATGATGAGGTTATTTCTGCTTCTTGGTTTTCCTTCTGACAGTCTGGCCCCTCTGCTGTAGGTCTGCTGAGGTTCACTCCAGGCCCTGCTTGCTTGGGGTTCACCTGCAGCAGCTGTTGAACAGCAAGGTTTGTTACCAGTTTTCTTCTTCTTCTATCTTTGTCCCAGAAGGATACCCGCCTAGTGTCAATCTGATCTCTCCTCTATGAGGTGTCTTTTTGGATATATAGGGGTCAGGGAGCTGCTTGAGGAGATGGTCTTTTCTTTATAGGAGCTCAAATGGTGAGCTGTGAGCTCTGTTGTTGTTCATTCAGAGCTGCTGGGCAGATACTTTTAGGTCTGCTGCAGCAGAACTCATAAACTGCTTTTTGTTCCCAGGTGCTCTGTCCCAGGGATTTAGGGCTTTATTTATGAGTTTCCGTTATGCTGCTGCCTTCTTTTTTTTTTTTTTTCTTTTTTTCCTTCAGACCTGCCCAGCCCAGCAAGGAGGCAGCCTAGTCACTGTCGGCCTATAGCAGCTTTGCTGAGCTGCTGTGGGCTGCGCCCCGCTGCCGAGTGAACTTCCCTGCAGTCCTGTTTATATGGGTGTAGTTAGAACTGCTTTGGCGATGGTGGCCCGCCTCTGTTGGGGCGGATTCTCTGCTGTGGCGTGTTGCCTTGGCAACGGCGGGCTGCCTCAGCAATGGCGGGTTGCCTTGGCAACGGCGGGCTGCCTCGGTAATGGCGGATGCCCCTCCCCCACAGAGCTGGACTGTCCCAGGTTCAGCTGCGCTTGCTGTGAAATTCTCAATCCAGAGTTTCTGGTTGCTGTTCTTTTGTGGGGGTGGGGCCAGCCGAGCCTGATCGCCTGGCTGCCTGCCTCAGAGCCTTTTTTAAGTTAGTGTTCCAGTCGCCTGTTGAAGAGGCGCCGGGGTCTGTTTGTTTTCCCCTGCGGCCACTCACTGCGCTGGCTTAAACAGCGGCACTGAGGTTTGTGGCGCTTTTTGTTCTTTTTTTTTTTTTGCCCTGGAATCTACTGTCCTGGTTCTCTGCTCAGTCCCCTTTTTGAACCAGCATATGGGCGACTTCCCGTGGCTCCAATCGCCAGCCAAAAGGGCACCCGGACCGGTGTATTTTGTACGGAGAACCGCGGCTCCGGGGCGCCGACAAAGCAGCCGCGCGGGGCAGAGCAGCGGCGCTGGCCGGCACAGCAGCGCTGGCCACAACAGCCACGCTGGCGAGCGTGGAGCACCTCTGCCCGGGAATTTCCTAGTCTGTGGGCAATAAAAACGCGGCGTCCACTCACCCTCTGCGCTTTCACTGGGAGCTGCAATCCTGAGCTGTTCCTAAACGGCCATCTTGGATCTCCCCCCGCGTTTGTTTTCTGTATGTCTCATGACTATTTTGTTCCTCTGTTCTTTTACTACCTTCTTTTGTATTAAGTAGGCTTTGTCTAGTGTATCATCTTTAATTCCTTTAATAATTTTTTGAACTTTTTTGGGGGTTATTTTCTTAGTAATAACCATAGGGGCTACAATATATATTTTAACTCATCAGAATCTACTGCAAATGTATACAAACTAAATTCCGGTAAGACATAGAAGCTTTACTTCTACATAGTTCTGGTCCCTTCCCCAACATTTTGTGTTGTTTTTTGTTGTACATATTATGTCTATATATGTTACAAATCAAATACCATATTGTTATAATTATTGTTTTATTTAAAGAAGTTAATAGAATACAAACATACTTAAAGATATTTCTGTCTTACCCATCTAAATACACATATACATCTATACAAATATATCTATATAGAACCATAGCTATAGAAATATATTCTTTCTTTCTTATTTGCCGTTTCTGGTTCTCTTCATTTGTTTCTGTGATTTTGAGTTATTATCTTCTATTATTATTTTATTCCCATATAGCTTTATTTCCATCCCCCTCCATTGTGTTTATTGTCAGTTGTATGTATACATGTTATAAGCCCAATAAAATGTTATATTATTTTATGAAATTGTCTTTAATCAGTTAATAGAAGAAAGGGAAAGAAATATGTAATTATACTGTCCTTTATTATTAGCTACATACTTATTGTTACTGTAACTCTTTATTTGTAAGGATTTGAATTACTATTTTGTGTCTCTTCCTTTCACCTGAAGAACTTCCCTTTAGTATTTTTTGTAAGGCAGGACTACTACCAATAAATTCTCTCAGTTTTTCTTTGTCTCAGAATGTCTTTGCTTCACCTTTATTTTTGAAAGATAACTTAGCTGGATATAGAATTCTTTTTTGGTAGCTTTTTTTCTTCAGCTCTTTAAATGTCATTTACTTCCTTCTGGCCTCCATTGTTTCTAATGGCATGCTAGCTGTCAGTCGTTTTATGATTTCCTTATATGTATTTTTTTTCACTGCTTTCAAGACTTTATTTTCATTTTCAGAATTTTGATTATGATATGTCTGGATGTGGATTATTTTTCCACCTATACTACTTAGAATTCAATGAATTTCTTGAATGTAGTATTTTTCTTCAAATTTGTAGAAATTTTAGTCATTATTTTATTTCTGTATTTCTTTACATATTGTTTTTCTTTTTCTCTATCCTTTCCTGTTTTTAGAGATGGGTGTCACTCCCTTATCCAGGCTGGAGTGCAGTGTCTGTTCTTTCCTTCTGGTACTCTCAAAATGTATATGTTGATGTATTTAATGGTATAGCACATTTCTCTGAGACACTGTTTATTTTCTTCATTTCTTTTTTTCCCCCCTGCTTTCCTTAGTTCTTTGAACATATTTATAATCATTGCTTTGAATTTTTTACACAATAATTCCAACATCTTTGTATGATAAGGCCTCTAAAATGTAGTTTCTACTGTCTGCTGTTTTTCCTAATTATAGGTCACACTTTGCATGTTTCTCTGCATGGCTCAGTTTTTTGTTGAAAACAATATTTTAGGTAAAATATTGTAGTAACGCTGTATACTGACTCCATCCACCCTTCCTGGGTTTGTGGTTATTTGTTTTGTCATTTGTGTATCTGTTTGGTTATTTAGCTGGACTAATTCTGTGAAGTCTATTTCACCCACAGTCTGTAGCCTCTGATATCTCTGCTCTGATTTTTTACCTGGGGTTATCTTTTAGCCTGGCTTTTTATGGATCACTCCTTGGTCAATATAAGCCATTTTGTGGTAATTTTTATCCTCTACTGTCAAATATGTATGTGGATTGGAGACTGCTTTCATAATTCAGGGAGTTTTGTGGTTTTGCTCTGGGACTGGTAGTTTAGAAGTTTTAGCCAGGGACTGGTAGCTTGGAAATTTTGTCTCCAGTCACTCCTCAGAGGATACAGCCTTCAGCATATACAGTCTTACAGACCCAGTCATGATTATATTTCATTTTAAAGTGGGTAGAATAGCTTATTGTGCAGTCAGTGATGCACCACAGGTTGTACTATATTTATATCCCCGAGTCACTAAGGTAACAGCTCTTTGCTAATCAATCTGAATGTGGCTGGGGAATACTTTCAAGTCTGCACCACATCTTGCCCTGATTGCTACTGAGTAAGCAGAGCCTACGCGTAAGCACAGCCTTACAGACCCCAAGGATGAGTGAGCTCTTAGTGGGTCACTTTAGCTGTATGTTTCCCTGCTTCTCTCTGTTAAGCTTCTGGCTGGTCCTCTTTGTTTCTTTGTTGCTATTAGTTTCATGCAGCTATTAGCCTTCCAATTGTTCACTAACAAAAAAATAATTTCTGCCTTATAGCCACGTAATATAACTGTAATTCATACTTTTCTTACCTTTACAAAATGACTAGAAAATAAAAGATTAGCCACTGAGTGGACACCCTAAACCAGGGGTTGGCAAGGTTTTTCAGTAGAAAGTCAGAGAGTAAATACTTTAGGCTTTGCAACCCACATGGTCTCTTGTAACTACTCAACTCTGCCATTATAGCACAAGAGCACCCAGAGATAACATATAAATGAATAAGTGTGGTTGTGTTTCAATAAAACATTACAGTTGACCCTTAAACAATGTGAAAGTTAGGGGCGCCAACCTACCGTGCAGTCAGAAATCCCATTTTTACTCCCCAAAAACTTAATTACTAATAGCCTACTTGTAGAAAAATTAATTTTGAAATAATGTATATTTATTGCAATGCATATTTAAGTAAACCTCGCTACTTCCAATCGAGTATTAACATATTAAATTGCCAATAGTACCTTCGAGTTTCCTTCATTGCTGTTTGCTAAATTAGCCTACCTTTATGCTTTGACAGTATTGTATTTTCAGCTTAGACTAAACTTTAAGTTTTGAATTTTCTTTATTTTGTTAACTGTAGATATCGTGTTGAAGGGATAATTCCAGAATCAGCAGCTAAACTATCTGATTTCCTCTACCAAACTGGAGGCAGAGTTACATGGGATAAATCATTGCAAGTGTATGATATGGTACACAGGATTGATTCGGTAATTTGTTGTTTTAATACTAGACTTTTAGTACATTAATATGTTTTTACTTTATACCTTAGTGAGTTGAATTTATTAAAACTATGTTATGTAGACAAAGTATTTTATAGTTTCAAATTGACTTGAAGTCTTTATAAAAGCCTTAAAAGTTCCCTCTTTATTTTCCAAGGGTTTAATTCTAATTAGCTTTATTCTGCTTGTAAATGTATATTACATTTTGAATCTGGTAAGCTCTCTTGCAATGTGTGCCATTTGTTATAAGGGAACAGAACTCAGGGATTCACCTCTGTTCCATGGAAAACAAAGGTTAAGTATGCCCCCTTGATGGGAAGTCTATAGACCTATTTTAGTTATGTTACATTAGGTATTAGGAAACTTACAATCATGGCAGAAGGGGAAGCAAGCACATTTTACCATGGCAAAGCAGGAGAGAGAGGAAGCACGGGGGAGATGCCACACACTTTTAAACCATCAGATCTCATGAGAACTCACATCACAAGAACAGGAGCAATGCAGACACGTACCATAAGGACTTAAAGAAAAGCAGCATGTAATGTTTAAGAGTAAGTGTATGAGACCGTTCTCACACTGCTCTGAGGAAATACCCAAGACTGGGTAATTTATAAAGGAAAGAGGTTTAATTGACTCACAGTTCTGCATTGCTGGGGAGGCCTCAGGAAACTTATAATCATGGCAGAAGGCAAAGGAGAAGCAGGCACCTTCTTCACCGGGCAGCAGGAGAACAGCATGGGGGAAACTGCCCCCATGATCCAATTGCCTCCACGTGGTCCCTCCTTTGACAGGTGGAGATTACAATTCAAGGTGAGATTTGGGTGGGGACACAGAGCCAAACCACAGCAGTAAGGATAAAGTAAGGAAATAACATTATATAGAAGGTTGAAGTTTAGGAACTCTTTCAAATATATTATCTCAGTTAAACAGATATAAAGAGGGAAAATAAAAGAAAAAACACAAAGGTAACTGGAGTAGAAAGTTAAAGATACAGTTGAGAGAAGAGAAAATGTGAGAGACAAGTATGGTTTAGGGAGAGACAGAAGAAAGGATCAGTATGAGGTAAGGGCAGAATGAAAGCTCAGGTGCAGAAAAAAATGAATGAAATGACAGGAATAATGATACACGGGAAAAAGAGGTTGTATTAGTCTGTTTTCACACTGCTGTAGAGAACTACCTGAGACTGAATAATTTATGAAGAAAAGAAGTTTAATTGACTCAAAGTTCTATAGGCTTCACAGGAAGCATGACTAGAAGGCCTCAGGAAATTTACAATCATGGCAGAAGGTGAAGGGGAACACCTTGGCATGAGATAACAGGTAACTCTCTTGTTTCTTTGGCAGAAAAGGAGAGAGAGGGAGCTCAGGTGGAGGTGCCACATACTTTTAAACCATCAGATCTCATGAGAACTCATTATCACGAGAACAGTGATTTGGAAGTCTGCCCTATGATTCAGTCACCTCCCACCAGGCCAATCCTTCAATTAAACATGGTATTTGGGCAGGGACACAAATCCAAACCATATTAGAAGTAGCAACAAGGATGAAGAATTGGGATAAGTGATTCTAAACTTTGGTCCAGCACACTGTAGATATCGCATTTATTTATTAAAGCCATTATAAAAATAACCACCTGGAGGGATGGGGGATGATTCTTCTCTCCTCCTGTAATGTATTAAAATTCATTCCCCATTTCTGTTATTATTTGTGTTTTCTCCCTCTCAGGAAATCTGTTTGTGGGGGAATCCTGACTTTGTTCCAACCTCTCCCAGACTGATGTGTATGTTCTTTTGACTAATTAATTCACTTCACTAATACTTTTTGAGCAACTGTTGTGAACAACATACTGTTTCAGGCACTAGGGACATATAAGGGAAGAAGAAGAAATTGTCCCTGCTTTCACAAAACTTATATTCTCATCAGAAGAGACATAATAAATAAACAATTTTTTAAAACTTACCGTATAATGAAGGCTAGGATTGGTATGAGTATTATGAAGGATAATAGTAATATCCTTATTACTATTAATAACAATGGTAATAACCAGGAGAAGCTAATTGATAGCTAGAGAATTGGGAAAGGCCTCTCTGAGTAAGAGACATTAGAAACCTTGGTAACAAAATGGAGATTAGGGAGATAGACATGCAAAGATCTGGGAGAGAGTAGCAGACATAGGGGAAAGCAAATGCAAAGGCCTTGTGGTGGAGAGTTTGGCAGTGTTCAATCAAGAGGTAAACAAGGTCTATGGGGTTTGACCATAAAAAGCAAGAAGAGTGGTTACGAGGTGAGAGGTTAGGCTTGGATCAAATTCTGCAAGAGTCTTAAAGGTCAGGGGGAGAAGTTTTGCTCTACATTCAGTGGGAAGCCATTGGAGTGTTTTAAGCAGGGAAGTGACTGATTTGATTTACACTTTTGAGAGACAGCTGCTGAAAGAGCATGGATTGTAAGGGGTAAGAATGAAATCACCAAGAATAGTTAGGAGGCTATGAGAGTAAGCTAAATGAGACATCATGGTGACTTGTGCTAGGATGATAGATGTAGAGATGAAGGTAAGTCAGGGAACCCAAAGATATAGAGATAGAGTCAATAGGGCTGTCTGATACAGGGAGAGAGGAATCAGGTAAGTCTTCTAAAACTGGATTGTGTTGTAATTGCACAAATACATTTCCTTTAGGAAACTCTTTGAACTGTATACTTAAAATAGGTGAATTTATGGTATGTATATTATACTCAAGCTGTTTTTAAAAATAAGTCCTAGATTTCTGGCTAATAAAAACGTTATTTAAAAGAGGTAAGAAATGTGAATGATTGAATAAAGGAAATTTTTATGATTTTCACAAATAATTGTATTTGTAAAATTTCAGATCACTAGGCCTTAGGTTCTTTAATTCTGCAATCTGCATTCATTTATCAAAGCAAACAAAAATAAATAAAGAAATAAGCCACATATCTGCCATCATTTTATCATTTACTTAGAATTCTGTAGTTTTACCTACTTTTATTAAACTGATCTTAAAATCTGGGAGAGAAGAGCTGCAAAAAAGCCCATGAAGGTGAATCTGTTTCATCTTGTAGAAAGTTCTTGATCTTCATCTTATCAATCAGTTTTATTTTGTAGAGAGTAAGTTCCTATACACAAAAAACACATGTCCATGACCTTGGGATTTGAACATTCAGTTTGAGAACCAATGGACATCACAAATGAAAATCCCGAAATTAAACTATTTCATTTATCTTTGTGTGATACTAATCATACAGTTTGATTAGTGCTTCAGATATTTCTATTGTTGCAAATCATACGTTATAATAGAATACTAGATGTGACATCCAAAAACGTGAAAACAAACTCAGAGATTATGTGACTTACTCAAGGATAATGCAGCTAGTATGTGGTAGAACCAGGACTTGTACCCAGTCTCCTAATTCCAAATTTTGTGCCCTTTCCAGTATACCATGTATCTCTGAATAGCATTATACTGCAAGAGGAATTATTTTACCCTTCTGTTAATATTTATAGTATTCATCTCCAGGACTATGTTTTATTTAGTTAGTTATTTTTATAATAATAATCATTTTTTTAGAGATAGGGTCTTACTCTATTGCCCAGGCTAGAGTGCAGTGGTGTGATCAAAGCTCACTGTAGCCTCAAACTCCTGGGTTCAAGCGATCCTCCTACCTGAGCCTCCCAAGTAGCTGGAATTACAGGCATGTGCCACTATGCCTGGTCAAGGATGTATTTTAACTGCCTCCTCTTCAACCTACTGGTGAGAGAGAGAGTCCCACTCTAGGGTTATAGGGATGGCCAAACACATAATACTCATTACTGGAGAAGTGAGGTATACTGAAGTTTATTAATCATTAATCACAGACCAGGGAGGGAGGACAAACTATGCCACACACGGCAACATGGGAACAGAGTGAATACCTACGGGCTGTGGGAGGCAGCCTTTGCATCAACAGGATAGGGTGAGCCCCAGTTCCTGCAGGAGAATGTGATTGACTTGTTTGAATTCCATGGGCCATCAGGGAGATGAAACCACTAAACAGAAATAAAAAATAATAACTGTGCTGGTCCTGTTGAGAAGCAGGATTGTTTGGCTAGGGTATTTTATCTGCAGGAATGAAGAAGGAAAGGAATGTGCAGTTAGGCCATTCAGGACCCCCCTGGTTTCACCCTATGCTGGTTTTACCAGCATATGATACTGGGCTTTAATTTTAGACCTTACCCCACAGGGTGCTAAATCTATGTATTTTTTTAAATACATTACTTAGCCTATGTGGAGTAGCAGAAGTAGTACTGTATGGGGAATCAGGAAGCCTGGGTTCTATTTCTGTACTTATCTCTAGTTGTGCATGTGATTTAATTTGTTAGGCTTCAATTTCTCCATCTAAAAATGGAAAGAGTAGATGATCTCAAGATTGCTTCTTGAATTTTCTATACTCATTGATTTAACGCTCCTTTAACATTCAAAATCCAAGCTGATTTGCTGATAAGTTCTTAAAATTTCAAAGTCCTGCTTTTTCCAAATAGAGGCCAATCATATGCAATAAAATTTGGGAGGGAAATGAAACATAATAGATATTAAATATTTGTTGTAAACTTTATGGTTTGAATTGTTGCAGGACACTTTCATATGTCATACCATTACACAAAGTTTTGCTATGGGCTCCATTTCTCCTCGAGACTTTATCGGCTTAGTGTACATCAAGTGCTACGAAGGAAATATGAACATTATCAGTTGTAAGTTGAAACATTTTGCCCATATCTTGGAATTACTATGAGCCATTAATAAGTGTTTTCCAAAACTAAAAAGAAAATAAATGTTTTCCCTTTATTCAGAGTTTGAAAGAAATCATATTTATAATTACTGACTTTTAAAATGTACTCAGTGGGATCAACAAGTACACATATCATATAGACATGTCTGGGGACACTCTGAAGGTCCCATTTATATAACAATCAATGTTTACAACATCTCTTAGACTTCCGCAGCATACATCCTGTAGCACAGGGTATAGACAGATACCTGTAGCCTAAAACATCAAGGTATACATTTTTTAAATCCTAAGTAACAAAATTAACTGTTAGATATAATTTTATATTTGAATTGCTTAGAATGGGCATACCCAGTAGCTGATAAAACTGTAAAAGAAATTTCCACTAGATGGCTCTTCATATAATTGTGCTTATATTTCTTTTAGAAACTGCAGGTTTTGATATATCCCTATTCCCATTCCCAAATGTGTCACTCTGTAAAATGCAAATATGTAATCATTTTCTAATTTGCATTATTTGATCAAACATACCATTTCATACCATAAGGATCTACAGACTCAGATAATTTAAAATAACTCATGGTGAAGGAATTTTGGTAGCACAGTGGCATAGAGCCCTTTTTTCTCTATGATTTGAATTAATTTCACCATTCCTATCTGAATAGTTTCCCCTATTGTAAAGTACTTGGGAACAGGGACAATTAAGTTTTATTAATTATTATTTCTCAACAAGATTTCACTTCCTCCGAGGTATCTTTCATACTCTTAAGTTTCAGAGTCCAGATTGAGTTGCAGCACTCATTCAAACCCAGTTAGCTCTTTCTACAGCATACCACTAAGGGCTGATGTTCATAATGTTCATATATGTCTAATTGTCTTGTTTTTGAAATGAGGGTACATATAATGTATTCACTGCCTGCAACATAAAATAGTCTGCCTGAACAGAGGGTAGATCTGTTATTTTCCACATTTTGAAGCACACCATTACTATATAATTATTAGTGATCAAAGGGAAGCTAAAAAAGAAGTAGAGGTTAACATCAACATTTAGAGGTAATCAATCACGTGGTGCACAAATCACTACTGAATTTGCTGTAAGAAGTTTCCGTTGAATGAATTTTTGATCAATACTCATGGTTTTCTTAAGGTTTCTTTCTTTCTTTTTTTAATTCTACTCTACACGTTGCTTTAAGCTAAATATTTTGCTTGCATTATGTCACTAGTGAGGAAACTGAAGTTCATGGAAATTAAGCAGTTAAGAAATTAAGTTACATAGCTAATAAGCAGCTAAACCAGAATTAAAACTCAGATCTTTCTGATTTTCCAAAATAAGTGCTAACTACCACACCATATGCTTCATAAAAGACCCATACCTGCTTGTAGACTACAACAGATTTTTTAAAAGAAAACAAGTATAATTTCCATATTTCAAACAGAGAAAAAATCTTTTATAATAACATCACTTCTGGCAGTACTATTATAGGCTCTGTTAAGATAATAAATAAATCATAAAAATGGAAAATTCATTCAACTACTCTAGTCTCCTAAGTTAGTGTTTCACATTGTATTGATTTCCTTATGTAAGATCATATCAGAAAATCCATCTTCTCTGACAAGAGCAGGATTCAGTTGCACAGAATAAACAAATATATTTTAGAAATATTTTATAAACAGCATATATATTATCATAAATTAAATCATAAACTACCCCCTCTGCATTCATATACAATACAGATACTAGGTTGCATAATTCTAAAATGAACTCTACTGATTTTTAGTTATGATTTGAAGTTAGCTACAGGGAATTGCAGAGGGAGTGTTTTAAACTGTCTTTATTAACAGACCATCTAACCACTTCAAATATTTTATTTAAAAAAAAAAAAACATGATTAACACAAAAATCTATGAACCCACGACCCTAGGAGAATAGTTTTCACACAAAGCTAGTTTTCAGTTTTCACTCAAACCCAGTGAGATTTTAAGTTAGTTATCAGCAATAACTATTTCCTGAGATTTGAGCTACCTTTTCCTTCAAATCTAAGAAAATAGTAAAATGATACTTTTAACCATTTTTATTGTATACAGAAGTTGACAGCATCTTTAGAAATACTAGCAGGAAAAAGTTTAAAAGGACAACAGTGCTCATACTGGTGTTTTCTCAATTTTGGCTTGTGTGCACCTTCATATGTGCAAATACACATTCACATGTATAAAACTAATGTTAATGCTGATAACTAACTTAAATGCTATATTATCTAGTTTTTTAAATATGCTACTGGAAATAGTTTTTCATCTTTGGGAAATAGGTTTCATTTTAATTTTTTTTTATCTCTTAGGTACAAGTGTGGATTTTCCAGAATATCCTCCATCTTCAAATTATATCCGTGGTTATAACCACCCTTGTGGCTTTGTATGTTCACCAATGAAAGAGTAAGTATTATTTGCACTTATTTATTTTAACAGCTTTTTGGTTCGACTTGTGATTTAGTTCAAGATTCCTGCTCATCAGTAGAAATATGTACCAGCATATTCTGTTGGGGAAAAAAACCTGTGGCTCAACATGATTTTTAAAATAACTTCTTATAATCGTTTTCATTTTAAGTATAATCAGAATGGATACTTCCCTATAAAGTATGATCTGAGCTTCTGAGAATAGTCAAACACACACAAGCATTTCCCAGCAGTTAAGCTTCCTTGATGTTTTCTATTTCTCCATTAGAGTCATTTCTGTAAATTATTAAGGAATTTTTGTGAATTAAAAAATAAATACTCCTGGCCGGGCACGGTGGCTCAAGCCTGTAATCCCAGCACTTTGGGAGGCCGAGGCAGGTGGATCACGAGGTCAAGAGATCGAGACCAACCTGGTCAACATGGTGAAACCCCGTCTCTACTAAAAATACAAAAAATTAGCTGGGCATGGTGGCGCGTGCCTGTAATCCCAGCTACTCAGGAGGCTGAGGCAGGAGAATTGCCTGAACCCAGGAGGCGGAGGTTGCGGTGAGCCGAGATCGCGCCATTGCACTCCAGCCTGGGTAACAAGAGCGAAACTCTGTCGCAAAAAAAAAAAAAATAAAATAAAAATAAAAATAAAAAAATAAATACTCCTAGAATTAGAACATACTTACATTAGTAACGAATGCTTTACTTTGAATGAAATCTTCCCAATGGACTACATACTAAGAGCAGATACCTGCAAAATGAGATCCAGTAGTTATAGTCAAATAAAAGAAAAGCTGAAGAAATCAGAGATGAGTCACTACGTAAAGGTGGCCTCCGGATAAAATGGCAGCATATAACATACATATTTTGCAAAGGCATAAACTCTATTTCAATGTATATCATTTCACAAGTTCCTTAGGTTTTAATGTTTGCTAAATGATTTTTTATTAAGTAAAAGATTTTGGACCATGAAAACAGATATATTGGTCAGATAAAAATGTATGTGAAGGAAGCCCAAATGAAATTAAATTTTGGATCTGTATTCCTTGACATTTCCTTTGCTGAAATAGAAAACTAAAAAACCTCATAATTATTCACATTATTGTATAGGATTTGTTGATACAGATAATAATAACAATGTGTGGTCTTTCTACCCATTTGTCAATTTTGAATCTATGGTCAAGACTTTATTCCCAAAACAAATGAAGGATAATTACTCCAATTCAGCAAGGTAAATCAACTGCTCGCATGGACTATAGTTGGAAAATTACACACCTTAAAAGTGTGCTTCACAAGCCAAGTCCCCTTCTTACACCTAGTCAATGTAAAAGTGCACTCCAGTAAATGTTGGAAAGGCTTTCTTATGTGTGTAAAGCCATCATAAACACAAATAAAGATTTAAGACCATACAAACTACCAGAAAGGAGAGTAGCCCCCCCCCCTTTTTTTTTTTTTTGAGACGGAGCTTCACTCTTGTTACCCAGGCTGGAGTGCAATGGCGCTATCTCGGCTCACCGCAACCTCCACCTCCTGGGTTCAGGCAATTCTTCTGCCTCAGCCTCCTGAGTAGCTGGGATTACAGGCACACGCCACCATGCCCAGCTAATTTTTTGTAGTTTTAGTAGAGACGGGGTTTCACCGTGTTGACCAGGATGGTCTCGATCTCTTGACCTCATGATCCACCCGCCTCGGCCTCCCAAAGTGCTGGGATTACAGGCGTGAGCCATCGCGCCTGGCCCTCCCCCTTTATTCATGGAGTTATGTTCCATGACTCTAAGTAAATGCCTAAACCCATGGAGACTACCAAACTCTATGTATACACCATGTTTTTGATCTCATAATCAAGAGGGCTACTAAGTGACTAATGGGTGGGTGGCCTATACAGCCTAAATATGCTGGTAAAGGGATGATTTCACATCCTATGTGGGACAGAGCAGGACGGTGTAAGATTTCGTCACACTACTCCATAATGTGCAATTTAAAGCTTATGAATTTTTCTTATTTCTGGAACAGGTTGAGTTGGGTAAATGATATTGCAGAAAGTGAAACAAAGGATAAGAGGAAACTACTATGTTCTCAATCTAACCATTTATGGCTAAATGTTTATGTCTAAACCCTGCATAGAGAAAAATATAAGAATTTTATAAATGGACGATCACACTATTTGTTGGAATGGTAGTCTTCCTTAAAAATGTTATAAAACTATATTCCCCCTTGCACATTTTTAAGTTGACATTAAAGTTTTTCATAGGATTACATTGATGAAAAGTAAATTACATTGATGAAAAGTACAATTCCCAGTGTGTGTGAAATATTGACATTTTAAAAATGGTTACATCATCCTTATAAACATATACAGTATGTTATAAATACCATAACTTGAAACCCACCATTAAATTATCCATTTCAAAATATATACAACCTTTAACAGTCAGAACATTTACATCATTCCATTCCTCCTTGAACTCACATTTTTATTTTTCCCCTTCATATAATTTTATTCTAATAGAATATATTTTATGCTTTGAGTTCTTTCATAGTCATCCTAATTCTCCATAAAAATGACATGTTTAAAATTTTAAAATTTGTTTTATTTCCTACAACCATACTATCTAAAAATTAAAAATATATGTGTGCCTTCTGGATTAAGTTGTTATAACATATTGATCACAATTAAAACTATTTAATTACAAATTTAAATACAAATTTTGTTACATAATTATTAAACATAATTCAAACTGTCATTAGAAACATGTATTTTATTATTAGCAAAACTGAAATAGCACTTACTAGTGCTAGGCACTGTTATAAACAATTGGCATATATTGACTCATTTGATCTTCAAAGTAATCCCATAAAGTAGGTAGCATGACGATGCCCAATTGGCAGGAAAGAAAGTGGAAGCCCAGAGTGATTAACTATCTGAAGGTTACATACAGGTAATAGGAAAGCTCAGTTTCAAACCAAGGCAAGCTAGTTCCTGACTCCATGCTTTTAAACATTACACTCATTTCATTTAACTGTGGGTGTATATTACTGATAAAAAAAGACAGCATTCAATATCAAGTCTACTACTGCTTTCATTTTAAGAAAACTGAAGAAAATTTATTAACATAAATATGTTAAAATGGTGAGAGTATAATGCCAGCACTGTCATTCAATGCCTTGAAATCTTTCTGAATTATATACCATAAATTATGGTAGTGATCTATCATCAAAAAAAAAAAACTATCCAGGCATGGTGGCTCACACCTGCAATTCCAGCACTTTGGGAGGCAGAGGCGAGTGGATCACCTGAGGTCAAGAATTCGAGACCAGCCTGGCCAACATGCCTGTAGTCCCAGCTGCTTGGGAGGCTGTAGCAGGAGAATCACTTGAACCCAGGAGGCAGAGGTTGCAGTGAACCCAGATCACGCTACTGCACTCCAACCTGGGTGACAGAAAGGAGTCCGTCTCAAAAAAAAAAAAAAAAAAAAAAAAAAAAAGACCTGTCAGCTGACAACTCAATTAGATCCTTAAGTTTTACTGAAAAAAAAAACTGACATGACTTGGGAAAGAATTTTTTCTCAACTCACTTCTAATCAAATTTTCCTTTTAGTATCTCAAAGATTTTTATATACCAAAGTAAAGTACCATAGTACTATTTCGTGCGGATAACAGGTATGCCTGTGTTGAATAAAGCAAGAGAAGTGCGATTCTGAACAGGCTGATAGGAAAGAAAAAGCCCACATCTCCATCAGAGATGGAGGCACGGTTATAAACAATTTACAGATCAGATCGAGGAAAAAATGTATTTACAGATCAGATTAAGGAAAAAATGCATATAGAAGTTAGAGATTTGAAAATTTATTCTCTTAAAAGTGTTCATCCTTTCACTGGGTTAGAATATAAAATACCACTTAGAGTGCAGTTTGGAATTAACATGTCAAAAAGCCAAACGCACAAACCTTTGAGCTAGAAATTCTAAGTATTTATAAAAGTATAAATGGGGCCAGGTGACGCCTCACCTGGCCTGTAATCACCCTCACCACACCTGTAATCCCAGCACTTTGGGAGGCTGAAGTCGGAGGATCGTTTGAGGCCAGGAGCTTGAGACTAGCCTTGGCAACATAATGAGACCTTGTCTCTTTAAAAAATTTTTAAAGAGCCTGTGGTTCCAGCCACTCACAAGGCTGAGGCTGGAGAATTGCTTAAGCTTAGGAATTTGAGGCTGCAGTGAACTATAATCACGTCACTGCACTCCAGCCTGGGCAACAGAGTAAGACTCTGTCTCAAAAAAAAAGTGTAAGCGGAGACATTACAAAAATTTAAAATTTTTATTGCAGCTTTACTTACAGTAGTAAGTAAAAAAATTTTATTGCAGCTTTACTTACGGTAGCCAAAAGTGAGAAACAACCTAAATGATAGTCAATCAAAGGACTGTTAAATAGAATATGAAATACTGTCTGTAGCCATGAAAAACAGTTAAGTAGACACAGAAGGAAGTTCATGGTTTCCTATTAAGATGAAAATAAAACTAGTTGCAGAAATATATCTCCATTAAAAAATGAAAACTATATATGTGAGGTGCATATTCACTTATGTACATATGTATGCTGTCTTTGTGTAAATATATAGACAGTCACCTGAAAAGATAACAATTAAAGGCCGGGCGCGGTGGCTCAAGCCTGTAATCCCAGCACTGTGGGAGGCCGAGGCGGGTGGATCACAAGGTCAAGAGATCGAGACCATCCTGGTCAACATGGTGAAACCCCGTCTCTACTAAAAATACAAAAAATTAGCTGGGCATGGTGGCGCGTGCCTGTAATCCCAGCTACTCAGGAGGCTGAGGCAGGAGAATTGCCTGAACCCAGGAGGCGGAGGTTGCGGTGAGCGGAGATTGCGCCATTGCACTCCAGCCTGGGTAACAAGAAAGAAACTCCGTCTCAAAAAAAAAAAAAAAAAAAAAAGATAACAATTAAAACTATAAACAGTGCTTATCTCTGGGAAACAGAATAAGGGGAATAAGGGAGGGATAATTTTCTTTAATTAAAAAAAAAATTTATATTGTTTAAATTTTCATAATACGCATACATTACTTTTAGAATTTTAAAAAGTCAATAAAAAGACAAAATGGAAAAGGTGCCTAAAACTGAAGATTTTAAGAAATATTCTAGCCACTTGATACTTTTAAGTAAAATTTTTATAAGTATGTCGATGGTGAATAAGACAAGAATCCTGCTCTCCAAAAACCTTTAAATTCAGTAGGTAAATCTAAAAATTCCTTTTCTTTTCTTAACTCTCCCTTTGCTTACAGAAATCTAGCATATTCCAAAATAGTGATGTTTGTCCAGACAGAAATGAGAGGAAAATTGTCCCCAGCAATAATTGAAAAAGCTATGCCTTCCAACTTAGTAAACATCATCCTCAATGCAAAAGATGCAATAAAGGCACACAAAACTCCATCAGGACGTGGATTTCATCATAATAGTCATTCCTGATACCAAAAGAAGAAATGAGGCCATTCTGCTTTAAAATCATGTGTAATAGTTATTGCAGTTTACTTCTAAGTCAACACACATAAATAATACTGTTAAACTATTCTAGACAGTATTCTTGTACACATTTCTGAAGATTGTTCATGAAAATAAGAACTCATTGTTGTACAAGAAAATGGCATTAAATATAGTTTTTAATCTCACATAAGAATGATGTTAAATAACAAGTGTTATTTAGTACATTTTTATCTTTTGCTTTTGTCCCTGTAAAATGCTCTGTATAAGAACCAATAAGAAAGCCGATATAGTCAGAGATCAGCATTAATTAAAGGTTAAATACATTTTACATTGTTTTTCCTTCACTTACTGCTTAAATTGAGAATTGTAGGAAACATGAACATAAAAATGGAAAAGAATTCCACTAAAATGTATAACCAATGACATTTAGAATTTTAAATAGAATGAGTCACAAGCAATTTCTGGTGTGGCTGAGATGCAATAGTCCATTCCTTTCAAGTCTTTACTCTTAAAACTTAAAGACCCTGGCCGGGCGCGGTGGCTCAAGCCTGTAATCCCAGCACTGTGGGAGGCCGAGGCGGGTGGATCACGAAGTCAAGAGATCGAGACCATCCTGGTCAACATGGTGAAACCCCGTCTCTACTAAAAATACAAAAAATTAGCTGGGCATGGTGGCGCGTGCCTGTAATCCCAGCGACTCAGGAGGCTGGGGCAGGAGAATTGCCTGAACCCGGGAGGCGGAGGTTGCGGTGAGCCGAGATCGCGCCATTGCACTCCAGCCTGGGTAACAAGAGCGAAACTCCGTCTCAAAAAAAAAAAAAAAAAAAAAAACTTAAAGACCCTGCACGTAACACCACAAACAAGCATAGGAAAACTCAAGCATAGGCGGAAAGAATGCAGCAAACTATCTAGGGACTTTGGGACTTAAGGAATGACATTCAGTGAGTTCTCTGGGTTTCCTTATTGCCTCCCACATATCCCATATGGGAAAGAAACACACACACACACACGCACACGCACACGCACACGCACACACACACACACACACACACACCTGCATGCATGAAAAAGCCTGCTCCTCCTAGTCATAGGACCAGGCACTTAACAGAACAAAAACACTTTTTTATAATGCCCACCCTACACCAGCCAAACATCAACCTACAAACCACTCCCATTCCACCCCCATGGTTTCAGTGGGGCAGAGCAAGAAGACACTTTTCCATCCTACCCCACCCCCATCCCACAGAAGCAGATGGTGGTACCCTGACACACCCCTATCCTATGGTGTCTGCAAAGCTAAGCAGGGAGCTAATCTTCCACCTTCTACCTGGCAGATGCAGATAGCACTGGTGGCCCTTTCTGATGATGTAGACTAACCAAGCAGGGAGCTAATTTTCTATCTTCCACACAGCAGGAGCAGAAGTTAGTACAGGTATAGTGGAGTCCAGTGACAAAGACAGCTTCCACCCCCAGCTGGCAGCAACGAGACTCAACCAGTGTCTTAGTCCATTTTCTGTGGTTATAACAGAATATCACAGATTGGATAATTTCTAAAGAAAAGAAGTTTATTTAGCTCACAATTCTGGAGACTGAGAAGTCCAAGAGCATAGTACCAACATCCGGTGAGGGCCTTCTTGCTACATCATAACGTGGTGGAGGGCATAACTTGACATGAGGGCCAGAGCAAGAGAGAGCTCACTTTTATAACAAAGCCACTCCTGTGATAGTAACATTATTCCATTCATAAAAGCAGAAGGACATTCAACCCATAGCAACTAGGTAGTGCAAAGAAAGGCTAGTGATCAGGGAGCTTCAAAACCCTCTCCAGCCCTACTCCCACCGTTGGAGTCACCAAGGCCCAGCAGGATGCTGAGCTTCCATCCCCAGCCTGCATCAGTGGTTTACCTTCTGTATTGGGAACAATAACCCACCAAAAAAAAAAAAAAAAAGTCCATGTCACATCCCTGGAACTTGAGAATGTGACCTTATTTGGAAAAAGAGTCTTTGCAAAGATAATTAAAGACCTCAAGATGAGATCATCCTGGATTATCCCAGTGGACTCTAAATCCAAAAACAAATGTCCTTATAAGAGATACAGAGAGGATAGAGGCATGGAGAAGAGGAGAAGGCCATGTGAAGACAGAGGTAGAGACTGGATTTTTACAACTATAGTCCAGGAACACTTCGAAGCACCGGAAGCTGGAAGAAGTGAAAAAGCATTCTCCCCTAGAGCTTTCAGAGGGAGTGTGGCCCTCTTGTCAGACTTCTGGCCTCCAGAGCTATGAGAGAAAAAAATTGTTTTTTAAGCCACCAAATTTGTGAAAATTTGTTATAGTAGCCATAGGAAACTAATATACCCTCTCTGGTATTGGCAGGGTTCAGCAGGGATCTGAGCCTCCATTCCTACCTGAGTATCAACAAGGTGGAACAAAGAGGCAGGACACGGGCCCAGGCAGCACTCCACCTGCCTGTCACCTCCCGTGTGTCATCAGGTTCCACTGGGGAGATGAGCTTCCAGTCCCACTGGGAAGCAACAAGGATGTGCAAATCAGTGCCCCACCTTTGCCAGGAGGATGTCAACGGGGCCAGAAGGGGAGCTGAACTGCCACCTCACCCATCTACAATAAGAGGCAGTCTGTGCTCAACTTTTGCCAGAGTGGTGATGGCAGAGCCCAATGGAAGGCTGAACCAACACATCCACCCAACCCTCATACTACACCTGAACAGCAGGACTGCCTGATAAAAATGAAGATTAATAGGATCCAGCGGTCTTCAGAAAGGAAAGAACATTGTAATGGGTAAAAATAAGCTGTACTCTTGAGTATATTAAATCATATTTGATGGTTGACAGAGGTTCAAAAACAATTCAATGGAACAGCCTTTCAGCAAATGGTGTTAGAGCAGCTGGACATTCACAGGTCTTGATCTAACCTTATGCCAAGTACAAAAAGTTACTTAAAATGGAACATGTAGTTACATGCAAAATATAAACTATAAAATATTTAGAAGAAAAACACAGGATAAAATTTTCAGAAACTACAACTAGGCAGAAGTATTATACTTGATACCAAAAGCATGATTCTTAAAAGAAAAAATGATAAATTGATCTTTATCAAAGTTAAAAAATGTATGCTATGTGAAAGACCTGTGAAGAGGATGGAAAGAGAAGTGATAGACTGGAAAACAATATTTGCAAGACATTGCCGACAAAATACTTGTACCTAAAATATATAAAGAGCTTTCAAAACTCAACTGTATAAGAAACAATCTAATTAGGAACAAAGACATGGACATTTCACTGACTAAGATACCCATATATCAAAAGATGTTCAGCATCATTGGCCATTAGGTAAAAGCACATATCAGTACTTGCTTACCAGAATAGCTAATTTTTTTTTTCGTAAATAGTGATAACATCAAGTGTTGGCAAGGATTTGGGGAAATTGGATCACTCATACATTGGACCTAGAAATGTGAAACAGTAATTCCTCTCTGGAAAAGTGTGGCAGTGTCTTGAAAATCAAACAATTTTACTGTACAACCCAGCATCTGTACTCTTCATTCCATGGAAATGAAAGCATTCACACAAAAGCATGTACACAAATGTTAATAGTAGCTTTATTCTAAATAGCTAAAAATGAAGCAACCCACATGAGTGAATAAACTGTGGTAATCCGTAAACAGAATACTACTAAGTAATAAAAAGAAACACACTATTGATGCACACAACAACTGGAATTGTCTCACGAGAATAATAATGAAAAAGCCAATCTCATAAGGTTAAATAGTGCATTCTTCCATTTATTTAACGTTTTGAAATGACAAAATGATAGAGATGAACAGAATTATTGGTTTCTAGGGTTAAGGAGGTAGAGGGAGGAGAAGAAAGAAAGTGGCTGTCACTTTGAAAGGGTAGCAGGAGGGATCTTTGTGATAAACCTGTTCTGTGTGTTGACTGTGGTGTGGTCACATGAATCTATACATGCAATAAAACTGCATAGAATTAACACACATGCATAAATGAGTACATGTAAAACTGGTGGTATCTACATAAAGGCAGTGGGTAGTATCAATGTCATTTTCCTAGTTGTGATACAGAACTGTAGGTATGCAAGATAAGATGAGGAGAAACTGCATAAAGGAAATATGGCATCACTCTGTATTATTTTTCAAAACTGTATGCAAATCTACAGTTATCTCAAAATAATTTTTTTAAATAGAAAAACCTATCCAAGCCAGAAAAGAATGTCATGAAACACTATCTCATAATCGAAAGCATTTGTTTTTTTTTATTTGATTATCTACCATATCACTATTTACCATATGTGGTTGATGGGTTTACATTATTAATATTTGTTTGACATTACACTTTACAATTTCTTTATTAAATATTTTCTAATCTCACTATGGATTGCAATGATTGTTAAGAAAATATTAATATTTAGCCCCAGGACAAAGCCTATTTTTCTTCATAAACATTATGTATCAAATCTAAAAAATGTACACATCGTTTTGGAATTGTGGCTCGAACAACTCTAATGCTTCATGGAAAAATAATGCCAAAATTCAAGTGTAATAACATACAGAAATACTATTCTCATGAAGAATAATTACGTCTTTTCATGGCACTCATTTCAGACGGAGGTTGCGGTGAGCCGAAATCGCGCCATTGCACTCCAGCCTGGGTAATAAGAGCGAAACTCCATCTCAAAAAAAAACAATAAAAAAAAAACACAAAAAAAAAAACAAAAAATTAGCTGGGCATGGTGGCGCGTGCCTGTAGTCCCAGCTACTGAGGAGGCTGAAGCAGGAGAATTGCCTGAACCCAGGAGGCGGAGGTTGCGGTGAGCCGAGATCGCGCCATTGCACTCCAGCCTGGGTAACAAGAGCGAAACTCCGTCCCCCAAAAAAAAAAGAGCAGCATAACTAAAGGCCAACTGTCTTCTGTTTCCAACTCTAAATCTACTGGGAATCTGAGTGTTATTTTCCCTTTTCTACTGAATGTTCAGGAGACATAATTAAAGATATACTATGATTTAGAATATGCCTAATTTTGTGAGTATGCAATTTTTACAGTTTTCCAATTTATACTTTACTCTTTGAAGAATATGAACCTTTTAGCCACCCCTAAATTTCATAAAATTACAAATTACCAAATTACATATTTTAATAAAATATATATCTC